CAACCGCCTCTTTTTTTCTAAAGAACAGTGCTTAATTTATCTGTACAAAACAAGGAAGGGACTCACGAACAACCATCACAAAAAAAACAGTCGTGGATCATCCAGGTAACTACACACAGTATTAAGAAACAAGGGTTCCCAAACTTTTGAATGGGGTTATTTTAATAATTTCAACTATTGTTTTTTCTTGTGGACTAAATGTAATAATCTTTTATGTACACACACACTACACACACACACACACACACACACATGATATTATAAATGATCAGTGTAGAGATAATATATATTGCTGGATTTTTATATACCATAAAAACATTTTCGTTGCTTGAAATTAGAAATGTTGACTGAAATAAAATAAAATACAATTCTTATATTCAGTTCATAAAAATTTCTTATTTTAATTAACTTGATGTATGAAAATATTAATAACTAATACAAAATTACACAACAAAATTACTAAAACTAAACTAATTAACTAAAATTAAAATGAAAACAGAAAATATAAAATTTTATTCCAAAAATAAATAAAAACTATAATAGTATCTCAGTGATACTAAAATTACACTGGACACGTCAGGTTAAAAGTTTGTGGTTTAGTAGGAAGAAGGATTTTTAATGTTTCAGATTTTTGAAAGAAGGAAAGAAGTCTCCTGTGCTCATCAAGGCTGCATTTATATGATCAAAACAGTAAAAAAAAAAAAACAGAAATATTGTGAAATAAAATTAGAAATTAAAAAAATAACTTTTCTATTGTAATATATTTTAACATGTCATTTATTTCTGTAATGACAAAGCTTTTCAGCATCATTACTCCAGTCTTCGGTGCCAAATGATCCTTCAGAAATCATTCTAGCATGCTGATATCAAAGAAAAAGTTATTCTTATTATCCACTTCAAAAGTTACTAAATTTTTTGTGGAAACCATTCTGAAATTTACTAGGATCTTCTGATAAATAGAATGTTCAAAAGAACAGCATTTATTCGAAAATGAACTTTTTTAATAACAGTGTAAAAATGTTTACTGTAACTTTTGATCAATTTAATGCATCCTTGTTGAATAAAAGTATCAATTTCTTAAAAAAACTTTGACAGGTAGAGTGTATACAGTAGATACACAATAAATACATACCCAGCAAAATTCCTACAGATACCACTGCAACTGCGATGTCAGCCTAATAAATACAGACTTAAAAGAAGGACTTATGGTTGAGCATTGCCTTGTGGGCCATCTCCAGAGGTTCTCCTCCCTTTATGAGAATGCCATTCTGAGCGCCCACCCCTGTGCCCACCATAACAGCAGTGGGGGTTGCCAGACCTAGAGAGCAGGGGCACGCAATGGACAGAACCGTGATGGAGGCCTGGAAGGCAAAGCGAACGATCACCTCTGTTCGGGGGATGTTTTGGTTGAAACCCTGTGGAGATCACACTTAGGTTAGAGAAGTTTCTTGTTTTTTTTTCCTCACACACAGATCTGTCTGTAATGAAGGCTGCGTTTACACACAGTTCATGAATTACTGTAACTCACGGGGAAATGCTTTGCCACGACATCAAAGTCCAGAAAGCCAATGATGAGCCATGCGACCACTGTGAGCACGGAGATCACCACTATGAACGGAACAAAATAGCCACTCAGTTTGTCAGCTAACTGTTGAATCGGTGCCTATCAAGAGAAGAGGACAGTAACATCACAATTATAACATGATAACATGTTTTTTTAATCAAAAACTAAAGGAGAAACATGAATATGTACAAAATTAGTGTTGTCAAAGTTCACATGTGACTAGATGTTATTGATTACATGTTTCTTTCTCTTCAGTCCTCACAAATTTCCAAAACAAAAAATTATACATAAGCCCATAGCTATGCATATTGTATAAGCTATGTAAAACGGGCACCCATAACAAATAATTATAGCATGCATGCATGTCCAAAAAAATATATTGTGATTATTTTGTCATATATATAATTTTAACTGCAATATGACATTTATTTCGTAAGACACAACGAACAAAGACTCTATCGTTAATGTAAATATACTTAATTTTAAAGGAACAGTTTACCCAAAAATTAAAATTTGCTGAGAAAATTAGGTTTCAAATAGCTGATAAAAACATCACAATAATCCACAAGCAATCCACACGGCTCCTGTCCATCATTTAATGTCTGCGTGTTTGTAATGTTTGTATGGACTCGTATTTTGGCCAGAACTGACAGTTTAAAGTTACTTAATGATGGAGTTATTACATACACGTAGATTTTCACTTGTAAGTGATGTAATGCTAAATTTCTCCAACTCTAATCCAATGAATAAAGAATAATCTACCTCATCTCCATCTTGGATGGCCTGTCTGGGTGAAATATTCCTTTAAGGGTTTTCACACTGAGCTCACTCTTTACAAGAACCAACTAACACTAAGTTACAGTACAAATATGTATGTCTTAAATTCTTCTTAAAGGGATAGTTCACCCAAAAATGAAAATTACCCCATGATTTACTCGCCCTCAAGGCATCCTTGGTGTATATGACTTTCTTCTTTCAGTCGAATACAATCGCAGTTATATTAAAAAATGTCCTGGCTCTTCCAAGCTTTATAATGGCAATGAATGGTGGGCGAGATTTTGAAGCCCAAAAAGTGTGTCCATCCATCATAAAAAAGTGCTCCACACGGCTCCGGGGGGTTAATAAAGGCCTTTTGAAGTGAAGCAATGCGTTTGTGTAGCATTGCTTACATTATAAGCTGCATGTGTGTAAATGAACACAGTACAGCTCTTCACTCTGAAACGCTCAGCAAAACTGACTATATACTTCTTTAATTAAATCTCAGCCTTTGATTTGACAACCACAATTTGAAAAGAAGACACATTTTTTATTTGAATGTTACATTCGATATAATTAATTATTAGCTTTTCATCAACCCTCGAACCCCCTGCAGTTCCCTCACTAACCCCCGTTTGGGAAACCCCGCTCTAAAAGGTTGGTTTGTTCATATGTGTGTGTTTTATGTTTGTGCACGAGTTACCTTTGATGTCTGGGCCTCTTCCACTAGCTTGACTATCTGGCTGAGCGTGGTCTCTGCCCCTACATGTGTGGCTTCCACTAGCAGAGCTCCATGAGCGTTAATAGAGCCTGCAATCACACAACTGCCTGGTTTCTTAATGACCGGCATTGGCTCCCCTGGAATGACAAATAGACTTTCAGTTAGGATTTCAGATTCGTATCCAAAAGGCAGCTTTGGACCTTTGAGCCAATATAATGCCAGTGTAACCGTCGGTCATCCGACGTGACGTCGAGAGTGACCGACTGAAAGGGAACATGATAGATCACTAGGAAAAAGCAGAACAAGTAAAAGAGGAGGTGAAGCCAGAAACCAAAAATCATACTTTGAAATGGAGCAGACACAACATTCACTTTATATGAAAAATAAACTTTTCAACAAAGGTGATTTGTGTAATTTTTACTCCTTTCTGCTATTCCAGCTTAATATGCACACTGCACCTTTAAATGAAAACCAACATGATGTTCTGCTTTTCAAAGCAAATCAATGGGAAAACCCACAAAGTATGTACTATGACACTGTTTACAAATGTAGACAAATTTAATATCCTAAACCACACAAACCCCCGCTGACTGAGTCTTACCAGTGATAAGGGACTCATCTGCCATAGACGTGCCTTCAATGACCTTCCCGTCAACAGGGAACTTTCCCCCTGGTGCCACCTTTACTACGTCGCCTCTCTGCACCAGCTCCACAGAAACCTGCTCTTCTCTGACACATGACAGCAAATTGACAGATTAGTCTTAGATAAGTCTCATGCAACAAAGAAAACACATCAATCAACACCATTCAGTATTCTGAGGTTCTACTAGATCTAATGTAATTTATGCCAAGGGCGCTAAATCCTGCTCCTTTGAGAGCCGAACTCTGTTCCAGAGTACACATCCATTCATACTGCTAGCTATTCAAATGAACCACCAACAGCAGTGCTGTTGCACTAATTCAGTTTATTCCGTATTTTTGTTGCTTTTTGCCCTCTTAATAATTATTTGTAAATGATGAAGTAATTTTATTGTAGTATTTATTTATTACTAGTATATATTTATTATAATATATATATTATATTGCATATACTCAAGTCAGTTTTATCTGTGGATGTTGTTTTAAAGCAGCTTTACAAAATATAGTGCAGTAAATAGTCTCAAATTCTGTAAATTCTGTCATTTATAACAATTAATAAAATATCAATAAAATATGCACTACTGTTCAAACGTTTTCAGTAAGAATTTTTTTTGAATGATATTTTTATTCAGCCAGGACACGTTTAATTGATCAAAAGTGACAGTAAAGAACATTGCTAAATAATTAAAATTAAAGTTTCTTGAGCACAATATCAGCATATTAGTATAAGTTATTGTAATTTGTTATAATATTTCACAATATTACAGTTTTTTTGCTATTTTTTGCAAATAAATGCAGCCTAGGTGAAAAGAGACTTCTTTCAAAAATATTTAAAAATCTTAACTTTGTGTTATACTAGTGTAATTTATATTTACAATTCATAAATGTAAATGTTTATATTACAAATAAAATACATTTTGAATATGTTTTAAAAAGCTTAATATTGTTTTGATAATAATTAAAGGTGCTGTAAGGATTTTTTTTTTTGAATTTGACTGTATGTTTCTTTACCTTAGCAACATGCTCCAACCAGCGTCCTAGAGCAATGAACACAAAAAGCATTGGAGGAGTGTCAAAAAACGTCAGGGGACTCTGTTTGGCTCCTTCAATCATAGCTACGATCAGCACTATGAATGAATAGACGTATGCAATGGTGGTTGCCAAGACGATGAGCACGTCCATGTTGGCTACGCCATGTCTTAGCGAACGGTATGCTTGTATGTAGAAGTAACGGCCACCTAGAAACTGAATGGGAATAAAGGAGAATCAGAAAAAGATAGAAATACTATATTATTGTTTTGTTTTGTTTTGTTTTTTTGTCAGTTGTCATTCAAACTATTATGCATGATCACAAAAATGTGACACAGTAAAATATTATTAATATAAAAAGTAAATATTAAAATCAGTAATGGCCACTAAACCTGAATCAATTGCTGACTCATTCCGGAATTAAACTAATGAGTCATTAAATAATTTCCTCAACCAATATGCTACAAAAAAAACAGTCAGAATTGTGAGATAAAAAGTCGCAATTACCTCTTTTATTTTTTATTCAGTGGCGGAAACGGGCTTCCATAACAAAGCTTTGTATAAAGAAAAAAAAGAAAAGAAACTACCAATATTGTGTTTATTGTTTATTTAATCGCTGTATTAAAGCACATTTATAATTCTATTTCAAATAAATGCTGTTCTTTTGAACTTTCTATTTATTCATCAAAGAATCCTGAAAAAAGAAAGAATCAAAAAGATTAAGCAGCACAACTGTTTTTAGCATTGATAATAATAAAAAATGTTTCTTGAGCACCAAATCAGCATATTAGAATGATTTCTGAAGGATCATGTAACACTGAAGACTGGAGTAATGATGCTGAAAATTCAGCTTTGCCATCACAGGAATAAATAATTTAAAAAAAACACATACTGTAATGCACATTGTAGTCTAGAAGAAATACTGTTGAAAATTTTGCATAAGAACCTTCTATGCCCACATAAAAAGAGTCAATTATTAATGAATGAGACCTAACATTCATCTATAACCTGAGGTGGAAATACCTGAACAGGTGTGCAGAGCAGGAAGAAGGCCAAGTTAATGATGGAGAGACCAGGTAGGATGTTCTGGTCCACAGGCATGGAACCACCATGTTCCTTGTGTTGACTGTCCATCACCATCATGTAGATCATCAGACCCATCACTGGGATCCCAAACACCAGGCTGAACAGAAACGAATGCTTCCATCTGTAGGTATACAGTTTACACTTATATATGTATATATAGCAATACATAAACTTACACTCTCTCTGACACACACACACACACACACACAGAAGTAAATGAGCTTAAATTTGAAAAAGATACTTGCTGCCGAATTTCCTCTTGGTGGTCCAGTGTGTTGTTCAATCCCTCATTTTTTATTAAAGACACACCAAAACCCAAACCCTAGAGAATAGCGAGAGAATAGACAAATGGAATGAGAGAATAAGAATAACAACAATACAACAATGAAATAACATTAACATGAAATCCTAATTAAACCTCATCCTTCTTAACAACATAAATATAATTTTACCTCAATAATTCGGACGATATCTCTAGAGCCTACCAAATCCGAGTCAAACTTCACATGAGCTTTGTTTGTCGCTAAAGCAACAGAGGCTTCCAGTATTCCTTTTGTCCTCAGAAGCATGCTTTCGATGTTATGGACACAGGAAGCACATGTCATACCTGTGACCTGATAAAATATAGGTGCCAAGACTGAAATCCACAAGACTGAAACAAGCTCAGAACCTATAAACTGTTTACATCAAACCATTCTTTTGTTGAATTCTACATTAGACCTTTTATAAGGATTTCCATTTCATCTCTCTTCCCGTTGGTTCATATAAAAAAGAGGACAAAGTGAAGTTTTTTGTACAATATATACAAATGTATTTCCTTATGTAGAGATCATGTATCCTCTAAAAACAGGCACTTTTCAATCCAAGCAGTGATTTTTTTTTTTTTTTTTTACTTTTCAGAAATAGCAAATTGTTGAACACAGTTACTGGGGAAAGAGAATCAGTCATGCGATTTGGCAGATATAAAAGGGAGGGGGAAAAAAACATAGACTTCCATACACTTAAACTTTAGTTGTAACTTTGTTTTTTAATTTGTGTTATTGTTTAATTATATTATTATGAATACTATTAACATGTTATGATGATGTTAATATTTATTGTCTATATTTATATCATCACAACTTCATTACTGCCACAAAGTATCATTACCACCACATTGTAAAAAAAAATCAAAATAAAAAAAATCAAACAACCAGTGTAAAAAAAAAAAAAGATATTTTATGGGAAATCTCTTTCTTAATAATTTTAAAATAATGTAATATTTCAAAAATAATATTAAAAAGTACGATTTAAAAATCTATGCAATATATATAATAAATAACTAATCATGTGTTGGTAAATGTTTGAGAAAACATTAAATAAGTTATTAATTACAAAAAAATGACCAATATCAGTCATAAATACCAAAAAGGGAAGAAGAACATATCACCTAAAAAAATGCCTAAAGAGAAACAGAACATATTACCCAGAGGCGTCATGCCCATTCACGTGCCCCCTCAGATTTTTGAGCCAAGTGGATTTTGAATGCAGCTTCCAAAAGACAAAAAATTGCCGAATAATATTTTGTATATTTGATATAATCACACTAGCGTGATTAAATCGTTCAGCGCGTCATATCATCAGCTGCTAAATTCAAATCTGGGGGCACGTGCCCCCCCAGTTTTTTTGAGCCAATTGGATTTTGAATGCAGCTTCCAAAAGACAAAAAATTGCCGAATAATATTTTGTATATTTGATATAATCACACTAGCGTGATTAAATCGTTCAGCGCGTCATATCATCAGCTGCTAAATTCAAATCTGCATTCGCTGGCTGGCGCTGAGCCAGATACAGACATGTTTTTACAGTACTGCGCATTATAACCAATCACACACGATTCTGTTAAGCTTATGAATGCAATGGCCAATCAGAGGTGTTCTGATGAGTCATCGCTAAAATGCCAGTGTTTTGTTCACTCGCTCGCTGACTGAATACCTCTTTCTGGCGAATTCTCTCGTTAGAAACAACAAAGTGCAGATGTGTGTATAAATAAGTAAGATATTCATTTCACAGTGTAAACAGCTTCAGTGATTTTAATGGGAGTTTTTGAGAGTGCTTGAACTCTAGGCTGTCAGTGAAAATGTTCTTTGATAGGCTAATGTAAATGTTCTTTGCTCTCTTTCTGTATGAAAGTGTTATGATAAGTAGCCTAACTTACAATGTTTTTATTCACATTAACTTTCAATATTAAATTCACATTAAATATAAAGTCAGTCGTATTAAAACTATGTTATGGCATGACACCCATATCTGTTAGCCTACTTAAGTAAACAGGTTTTTATGCATAGTTAATAGACTTATTAGGCTACTTTGACCATCGCCCTCTATAGATCAACTAACATAGGTGAGAATCGAGATATTTCATGATATAGTTAATGCTAAAATAAAATAAAATTGCGTTTCGAATAAAAAAAACAAAAAAAAACAACAACAACATGCTTGTGATGACACATGATGACCCCCCTGTCGTGCCCCCTCAAAAATAATGAGTGCATGACGCCCCTGATATTACCTAATGAAAAGCCTAAAAAAGAACACATGATTTTTTGGTTGTAGTTACAGAATCACCCACAAATGCACCCAGACACTCACAGAAAGATCCAAGACGCCGTCGTGGAGTGTACTCTCTTCCATCACTGAGGCACCAAACCCTAAACGAGAGATGAGCCGGATGATCTGTGGTGGGTCCAGAAGCCCTGGATCATACTTCACCTCTGCCTTCCCAGCCATCAGAGCGACTAATACTGATTTAATACCTAGACAAATATCAACACACATAAAAATCAAACCCCGGATCTACTTGTCTTATATATATGATATTTGATTTAAAATTATTGATAGCAACTTAAATATAGTTTTAAAAAGTACTTAATCCTGAATGCCATTTTTACCTTTGTGTTTCAACAGATTTTTTTCAATGTTGGTCACACAGGATGCACAGGTCATCCCTGTCACATGAACAAAACATTTGCGTGTCTCTCTGTCCTCTGAGCCACAGGGGTTGTCATTGGCGATTTCACTTGCTGAAGTTTTGGATGTGTGGCTTTGTTTCAGAGCACTTGACATTTGACTACTTGATGAAACTTCATAAATTCCAGAATCTTTGAAAGAAAGAAAAAATTTGTAAAAGAGAAAAAAATTATGGAAGACATTCAGTGCTTATACTGAACATAACTGATGAATGCAGTTATTTTTAAAGGGGTCATATGATGCGATTTCAATTTTTCCTTTCTCTTTGAAGTGTTACAAGCTCTTGGTGCATAAAGAAGATCTGTAAAGTTGCAAAGACTAAAGTCTCAAATCCAAAGAGATATTCTTTATAAAAGTTAAGAGTCAGCCACGCCTACCTAAAACGGCTCGTTCTAACACGCCCCCACATGTCTACGTCACTGTGTGGGAAGATTTGCATAACGGTGCCCAATTGTTCACGCAAAGAAAGAAGGCGTAACTTTTATTCTCGCTGTAGTATTGTTGCTGCCGCCGCCTCCATGTCGTGTAGGCGCTGTGTGCTTTGTTGTGAAAGAGAAACTACTTTGTTTGGCCTTCCAAAAGAGGACAATATCCGCTTCGTCATGCCTGGAGCTGA